TACATAAAAACGTACCTACAATCAACCAAAACACAAAACATCCCCAAATTTCCATTTTATACTGTGGCACTGTTCTCGCATCAGTTTATGATACCTACTTTTGTTGTTATTTTAAACCATGTCCATTCCAGTCATTGGCTTTTGTTTTCCGCTCCTGTCAAAGTAAAGTAGGCCAAACCCTATATCGACGTATTTCCCTTCAAAAGGACTATCCATTTATGCTTAAAAAATTAGGTGGTGCAATTTAAAAAAAATGTCGATGACGTCATAGGTTTATGAAACATAGCGCAAAAAAGGTTTAAGCAACGTGACAAAAAACGACAATTCTAATTTACTAATCGACGTGTTTTAGCGTTTTTGTGAAAACTCAACACAAAATGAAATATGAATTTTTTGCGTTACTTCTGGGACGCACTGTATATAGGTTTGTTATTTAAATGTTTTGATGTTATATATCTGTGGTTTAATGTGGTCACATATAAAGCCACATTATTTAATAGTTGTAATTTATTTCTCAAGTTTTAAATATGTTACCTTATAATGTTCTTAATATAGTAGCCGCGGACGAGGAAGAACGATTGGAACAGATTCGGGAATTTAATAGAGAAAGGCGTTTAATGTGTGAAAGATGCGATCTCTTTAATAATGTTTTGCTGCACCAACGCGAGATGGCCTCAGTGAATGCATGCTCCGTCCGCCCTATCCAATAAAATCCTCTTATTTATTTACTTATATGTGTATGTCTACTGATGAGCAATTCCCACAGTGTTGCCAGATTCACTTAAGTGACAGCCAAACTAAGTTAATAGCTAAAATCTAATAAAATAATGAGTTGAAAATTAACAATAACACATGAAGTTATGATTATAAATGCTTGGCAAATATCACACTCTCAAAATATTAAGTCAGTTTTTAAGCATCAAAATTTTCAACTATGTTTTTAACTGATATTTTAGGTATATCTAATTTGTGGCAAATCTTTTAATCTAGCAATGACGGTTTCTTTCCATTTTTTTTATATTGTCGCAGAAATCGTGACATCTAGTGGAAAAATTGATGCATAAACTGCCAACACTTACGCTTTTGACACTTGTAACCCTATTCCCTCCATCAATCAACAAGAATTATATCAAAATTATATGCGATGCAAATCTTATATGTGCACATATATTTTAATTGCGGATATAATTAGTGATCTAAGTTGAGTGAAAAATTATAAATATTTACGGAGACATTCATTTTTTTACAATCCATCCATTTTGACACACATATTGAAAACCACTATCTACAAGGAGGGTAATAATCTATGCATGCTCGCCAACGAATTGTAAATTTGCCGAGTCATGCGATGTGTCAAAAAAATTAATAATAGTAACTGGTCTTAAGAAAGCTTAAAATTATAATACATTATGTATTAATTTTAATCCACAATTTAAATTCATAATAATGAAAACCATAAACAAAGATTAAAAATGCACAATGTAAATGCCTACCTATTTACAGAAAAACAAGGTAGTTGCTGCAAAATACATTCGGTAAGTTACAAGAACCTTCCCATCACATGTACACAACTCGTACTCATTAGTACAACACAAATAATTAATTTAAAACAAGAAATTGACAGCTGAAAACAGAAATCAACACTAGCTAGGTTGCATAGTAAAGATTTCTAACTACATTGAACAAATATAAGTTAAAATATAAAACTTCCCATTACTAGTTACAAAATGATTAGAAAGCACGGACTTCTGATTTACAGCAACGCTCACCTCGAAAATCATGTGGACAGTTGAATATTGAGTTTCTAAGCTAGCCAGATAGTATTGAGGCCAGAAACACTTATATGAAGATATTTTAAAACATGTGACATACCCACTAAATAAATGATTCTTTATTTCTTTCTTATTTCATATAGAAAGTTAGAATTTAGAAATATACAGGGTGTAACTAAATAAGTGTAAAACATTTAAGGGGGTGATTCCTCATCGAAAAAAAGATAGGATCTTTCATATAAAGAAACTTCATTGGAGCATCCCTTGTTAAGATACAGCCCCTTAAAGGGGGTACATAAAATTTGTTTAACAATTTTTTTCACAAGCACTAAACAAGTTACAATATTGAAATTAACCTGACATTTTCTACTACCAAAAAGACACTTAGCCAGTAATTTATTTGGTTTACCCCATGGTTGTAAGGGGTGGAAAACGCAACCCCTAAAATTTATTTCCAACGTAATTTTTTGTCTTATTATTTTTTTACCATTTAAAAATTTATTTCCGATAGCCTGTTTCATTCTAAAAAAAAATGTCTCTTGAATTTTTTGCCCAAATTAAACCAGTTCGCAGCAAAAAATTATTTTACGAACAAGATACATATCGCCATAAAACGAAAATACGAAACTAATTTATCTAGTAGGCCGCCATTAGCGATACTGACAATTAAATTGGAATCAAGCTGTCAGTTTGTAAATTTTTGAAATTGAAGTAATACTAATTGTGTATTGTTCTGTTCTTAATTTGTTACTTTAATAATTCACTTGTTATTAAAATGGCATACACAAATGAGGAAATGGCTGATATGCATTACGTTTACGGTCTGTCGCAGGGGAATGGGTTAGAAGCTTCTACAAGATATGCTGAAATGTATCCTCAACGGCAGCATCCTTCACATAGAATATTTGTCTGACTTCATCAACGATTACGTGAATATGGTTCATTCAACAAAAGAACGCAGGATTGTGGTCGCCATCGAGAAGTAAGAACACCACAGCTTGAGGCAGCAGTACTTAATTTGATAGAAGAACAACCTACTACCAGTACTAGAAAGATTGCTTTCCAGCTAAATGTTGATCATATGACGGTATTTCGAATTTTAAAGGAACATCTCTTATACCCTTACCATCTGCAACGAGTACAGGCACTGTTACCGCGAGACTTTCCGAACCGTCTTGAATTTTGCAATTGGATGCTGGAAATGATTAGAAGAAATCGTGACTTTCTGAAGACGATCGAATTCACAGACGAATGTAGTTTTTCTCGGGACAAGATTATTAATTTTCATAATTACCACATATGGGCTGATGAAAACCATCACGCTATTGTCGAAACTAACCATCAAGAACAGTTTTCTCTTAAGGTGTGGGTCGGAGTTATTGGGGATTATTTAATTGGGCCTCATTTTCTACCTCCTCGATTAAATGGTGAGGCATACGTTCAATTTTTAAGAAAAGTGCATCCCCCCGTACTGCTGGAGGAAGTTCCTTTGGGCGTCAGAAGGGATATGGTTTTTATGCATGATGGGGCTCCCGCCCATTTTAGTCAAGTAGCACGTCAGCATTTAACTGAAACATATGCAAATCAGTGGATAGGTCGAGGAGGACCACAGAATTGGCCCGCTCGATCCCCGGATCTCAATCCTCTGGATTTGTCTACTTGGGGCCATTTGCAGCATTTGGTTTATCGTACTCCTGTTCGCGATGTAGAGGACTTAAGAAACCGCATTATCGATGCGTGCAGGGTAATTAGAGAGACTCCAGGAATATTTGAGCGAATACGTGGCTCAATGCGCCGACGTCTAGACGCATGCGTAATGTCTGAAGGTAGACATATTGAACATTTACTATGATTTCTACATGTTGTATGTTTTGTTATTATTAAATTAGTTTTGATTATTCCCCTTTAATCATTTAATGCAGGTAGTAACTACAAAATAACAGTAAATCCAGTCCGCATTTATGACGATGTATCTCTGTAGTTGTTCGTAAAATAATTTTTTACTGCGAACTGGTTTAATTTGGGCAAAAAATTCAAGAGACATTTTTTTTTAGAATGAAACAGGCTATCGGAAATAATTTTTTAAATGGTAAAAAAATAATAAGACAAAAAATTACGTTGGAAATAAATTTTAGGGGTTGCGTTTTCCACCCCTTACTACCATGGGGTAAACCAAATAAATTACTGGCTAAGTGTCTTTTTGGTAGTAGAAAATGTCAGGTTAATTTCAATATTGTAACTTGTTTAGTGCTTGTGAAAAAAATTGTTAAACAAATTTTATGTACCCCCTTTAAGGGGCTGTATCTTAACAAGGGATGCTCCAATGAAGTTTCTTTATATGAAAGATCCTATCTTTTTTTCGATGAGGAATCACCCCCTTAAACGTTTTACACTTATTTAGTTACACCCTGTATATCACCGACTGCGTGGCTGATCTCTCAACCCATAAATATCAGTGGTCAGCAGTTTTCAACTTAAAAAAATATGTACACCTTTGGTTTACACTTTTTTCTTCCTAATTTTTTTGAAAAAATAAAACCAATTACATGTTCTACACAAGTAAAACTCTTAGAGAAAATTTTAAGCCCAAGGTAGGTCACGTAAGTGCATTACTGTATGATTCATTGAAGCTTGAAAAAATGTTTATTTTTCAAAAAACCGAACTCTTGCAAAAACTGAAATATTTCGCAATTTTACAAAAATGCCTTTATTCTACTTGCCATATTCTGAAAGTTTCGTAAAAAAAATCTTTTTTCGTTTTAGATATAGAAGTTTTAAAAATAATGCAAGGTTTAGCCCGTTTTTGCAATAACTAATACATTTGTTGATCGATTGACATCAGGCTGAACTCAAAATTATTGTTATAAAAAGTTCTACAACGTTCGTCTAAAGCATTTTTTTCTAAAATGTTTATTTTTTTTTAATGGAAAAATGAAGCCCTAGCATTCAGCTGAGGTAAAGTGGTTCAGTCAATTACTTCACATCCCAATATTTACAATCAGTGTAATATTCGCAACTGTATCTTTTAAATGCCTCAATTTTTGACCATTTTGTATGATGCAAACATTTTTTGTGCATCAATTGAGGTCTCCTCAAAGACTCCTTATGCTTGATTGTTAGCAAAGAACGTTGTACTTAATTTAGAATTTAATGTAGAATCTTTGTTTCAGTTGGTGGTTTGAAATAATTGTCCTTTTTACGCTTCAACACGCAACAATTAATATTGTTGTATTCTTCTTCCTGTATTTGATTCAAAATCACAGTCACTGGCACTGGCGAAAGATCTTTATGCCTCAGTTGATGCACTTTGATGTAACTCTTGTATTTAGTTTCGTAATCACAGTCATTGCACCTGTACATATGAAAATGCGAAGGGTGTTTCAGTTGGTGCCGTTTGATATAACGTTTGGATTTAGTTTCATAATTGCAGTCATTACACCTATATATTTCACTCTGCCTATGCCTCAGTTGGTGGTGTTTTATATGTTCCTTGTATTTAGTTTCGAAGTGCAGTCGTTACATCTGTACAATTGAACCTGTGAAGGAACTTTATGTATGAATTCGTGATTTCTGATGTGGCTCTTATATTTAGTTTCGAAGTCACAGTCGTTACACTTGTACATTTGAACCTGCGAAGAATCTTTATGTACCAACCGATGTCCGGTAAAACTCTCCTTAAACTTCGTTTCGAAACAACAAAACTTATTCTTGTACAATAATTGATGCTTGGCTTTCGTATTACATTCATCTGCTGATCCATTCACGAGTTTATGTCCATCCTCTTCTGCATCTTTACAGTCACTCTTCTCCAATGGTACAGTATCGGAGCTCTGCAGTGGCGCGTCCCTGAAAATATTACATATACAGGGTATTTTTAAAATTCGGGTTAAAATTTTAAGGGATTATACACATGCCAAAATATTGCATTTCACAAAAAATCTAATAAAAACTTATAAGAACATAGTAATTAAACAGGATAGTAAACTTCAAACATTTTCACAAACATTTTATTAAAAAGAAACTCAGATCAAAGAGTTGCGGCATTTTGGTATGGTTTTTAACAATAACTGAATCAACATTAGTGCTAGTAACATAATTTTAATTTTAGTGATGTTAGTCAAAAATGTTTACCCTTGACTACTTTTAAGAAACCCTGAGAAATCCAGAATTTTTTTTTATAACTCGCTTTTCTTTCAGAACATCCATGGATATCAATAATTGTTTTTGGCAACCCCACCTGTCAGCTATTTTAGTTTCACTCATCATCTTTAATTTGAGCTGTTCAAGAGCTTCATACGATTATTTGTCGCTGAGTCTTTCACAGGGAAAATGACCCCTTTGGTTTTGATAAATATTACTCAGAAACTAATGACCGTACAGAAAATATAAGTTTTGAAAACTTCAAAATATTCTCCTTAAACAAATTTTTCGATGTGAGAAATTTGACTCAAAAAAACGTAAAAAAGTGTGTATTTAAGGATTTTTGGTAAACTTAAAATTGATGTTCAGGATATTTTTCTATTTTTTAACCTCAAAGTATCCCAAAGAAACCCTCAAAAGTTCAAACTGCTGCGACGCTTTTTTCATTGTGAAAAATCAATTAAAGGATAACTTTTGCATTTTTTATTCTTTTTCTAAATTGATTTTTTTTTCACAAAAATCTATTTTTTTTGCATAAAATTTTTTTTTTTAAATATTGAAAAAAAATTTACTTTCCGAATATAATATATTCTTTTACAAATGTGCTGCACCATTGTCAAATAAAATTGTCCTTTTTTGCCAAATAAAATTGTGCGTTTTTTAACCGTGGTTTCCACCTTGTTTTCAAAAGTCAATTTAAAAATTTATTGCAAAAAGTTGGTCACCCGCCAATCAGTTGCTGTATCACCTTTCTCAAATCTCGGATACATACTGCTCAAGTTTTTTTTTAAACTAACCTAAAAAGCTTTTCAGTATATTCCAAAAATATTTCTTCTGGCGATTGTGTAGCATTGTTTATATTGAAAAAACATTTTGTTTTATTTTTTTTCTATTTTTGCAATATTTAATATTTTTTGATGAAAAAAAAATTTTATATTTACAAAAAAAATAACAGTTTCAATTTACAAAAATGAATAAATAATGCAAAATTTATCCTTTATTTTTTTTTATAGCAAGAGTGACAATTTCAATATCATTAATATTGCCCGATTTTCGGAGCTTCAGGGGTAACCTTGGTAAGAAAAACTGATACCAATGGGCATAGGACTTACTTCGTACTGAGCTAAATCGATCAATACTACTGTCTTGTCAAAGCCCGGCTTTTGCAGCCGGTTGGTTATGTAGACAAACTGTTTACCAGATATTAGTACTTAGACTTTATTAAATACAAAATTATAGTCATACATTGTAATTCTAGAGAAAGATAATCATTTATCAGATATTAATTCAATGAGAGTGATTTTATCTCACTAGGATTGGATACTGTCATGAAAAATTCCAAATTTTGCCCGAAGTCTGATGTACCAGACGTGAACGAAGTTACATTTGGAAAAAATATATGAATTTTCTGTATCTGCTAAGGCAAGAGAATGCTGCTTCCAAAATAGTTTGCTACGAAAACTTATGAAATTGGAAATAAAAATATCTCCTTGTAGCAGATGTTTTTGTAGTATTCATCTTTGTCAAAAGTGATGAAAGAGCAAAAAGTACAAAATACTTTACACGATTGCATTATTTAATCATATAAATCGTAAAGTGTCAAAAGCATGGGCTGCCATAAATTATGTTAAAATAGTATTCTCTTACCTTGTTTCCTCCTCTTCCGATTTTATGTCAATACTTTCATCTTTGATGGACATTTCCACCTCGTTAGTATCAAATTCTTTGTCCAAGTTTTCGGTCTTAACGAATAAGTCAAGTGGAGCCGTATCTATTTGACTTTCTGCGGCCGAACTATCAAAAATGCTTTTAATTTTTTCTCCTGCCTCTAAGCAATCTTTTAGGAAACTGTTATGACTGCACAGAGAATCAAAGCACGGCTTACACACAACGGGATATTTGATGATATTTATATTCTACAAAATATAGTTTTTAAATTCTGAAAAATGCAAGTATTTAATATCACTAATACCATTTCAGGAGCCAATTTCTCAATAGCTCCAAGTTCCTCATCACATATACACCTAAACTCACTTTCTACTGGGTGCATACACAATCGACATATCTTCTGACTGCAATCTAAGTTACTTTTCTTTTCCTGCATGTACACGTCTTTTAAGTCGAGTTGTAACATTTTTTCGCTATCCACATAAGGAATAATTGTGTTATCCATATTCAGACATGTTGACTTAAATTCCAATGCCATATTTAACTTTCTTCTGCAATCCTTACATATAACTTCTTTGCTCTCGCTAGCAAATTTCTGAAAAATATGCAACTTTAAACAGAAAGAAAATAACTGGCAGAAAATAACAATTAATTGGTAAAAGTTGCTCGACACTTGAGACTATTAAGATCTAATTATATTTCACCTACTTACCAATTTCAGCAAAAGAACATCTAGAATGTCTCTGATAATGTTGCCCATCACTTCCAAACTTTTATCTGTTATAGTTTTAAGGCAAAGCCTACACGAGGTTTCCTTACCATCAGTCATTGCTCTGAGCTCTGCAACAATCTTCTTTCAAATATAAACAGAACACAGACAAAAAAATATATAAAGCCTTCACTTCTAACTCTAACCTCTAACCCATAGATTAATACAGAAACTCTAACCTTCTTGGTAGTGTAGAGTGTAGTGTAGTGTGTAGTAGGTGTTGTGACGTGACTGTTGTAACACTTATAACTGTTTTATGTTGTGTGTTATTAGAAATAGAGATGGGCGAAACATAACTGATCCGGCTCTGCTTACTGGTCCGAGTGAACTCGAGTGAAATAGTTCCTTCTCATTTTGCAGGGTGCGGACTCCCATACAACTTATGCGATGTTTCTTTCGAAGTAAATTTAGTATCCACATCAACCTTTTAATACTTTATTCATAAGAGTATAGTATGTAGAAACAAAATTCTAGATAATCACTATCCACTGCAGTAGTTCTTTCTCTATCCTTGTTCAAAGTTTTTAAAATGTATCTTTTTTTCACTTTTCTTGAGAAATTTGATAATTTTTTTTATTTAAAGTAATCGATTTTCGATACATAGACATTTTTAACCAAGTACCTAGTTTTAGGGTTTTTTTGCTTCTAAACCACATCTAACTTCGTTAGCTTGACTCGCATAGCGATTTCCATTGGGGAAAACTGGGGCTGCACTCGGGCAGCACTGACACTCCACTGGTTGTATGAGAAATATGTTTTGGTGCAATCTCAATGGAATGACAATTTTTGCGTGGTTTGATTTTTATTCATTCAAAGTAACAGTTGACCAGTTGAAGTTTATCAAAGAAGGTAATTACAATGAATGAAGAATAAAATTTGAAATTTAAAATAAACGAGGAGGAAGTTACATTGTGTATTCCTGTAGACGAAACGGGGTCACTTATTTAAGTTTGTAGATGATATTTTCAATGAATCCTTCCACTTCTGGCAGTTGTTTGCGTATAACTGGTATAACATACATTTCATCATCATCACTACTACTACTTAATAAAAACGATAATAATGGACCAACAACTTTGTCCATATTTACCGCCATTTTTTCTTGCACTGACACCGGCACTAGCTCCAAGACCTCATGCGAAATAATATGCACTCAGAGCAAGAACTATTGCTCTAGTTTTTCAATGGAATTTGAATATTTGCACCCACTTGACCAATGGAATGTCAATGGTGCACTCAGTTTGCACCAGTTTTCTCAATGGAAATCGCTAACAGAATACGTGAGCTTGACTGTCCCGTGTTGTGTTCCGTGACTTGTGATTGAGGTTATGTAGTTTATAAAGTGGAAATTGTACTTGAATTAAATATTAAATAGAATATAATACAAATGGAGAAATTCAAGGGATCATTCTGCAGGCTATGCCTCAATAACGAAAATGATGCAAGTTTCAAGATAATAGATGAAACCATTAAAGAAGTTTTAGACATTCTTCTCCCGAAATTAGTAAGATAAATTGCAATGTGGCAATTGGACTTTATTTGGATGACGTTAAATAAATTTATACAAAACGATTAACAATTATAAAATCATAAATGCTGTTTAAAATTATTTAATATGATGTTGTATCGAATAATAATAATTTTTGAAGGTTAAAACATATGTTTTAGTGGGTAGAAGAAAATAACTCCATTATATGCAACGTCTGTTGCACGAAACTATTTGCGGCATTTCATTTTAAAGCCATCTGTATGGACACCGAGGACATTATTTTTCCTTATATTAGTTCCAAAGATACAGCTTCAGTTGATCTAAGAGAGGTTTACTTGAAGGAAAAGGATAAAGAACAATTAGGAAATATATTGCAAGATGAGAAAATTTGTCGATTATGTATGCAGATAGTCTCATGTGGATTTACATCCGTAAAAGAAGTGAAGGCCGACGTATTTCTTAATTATATTCCACAAGTTGTATGTAAAATATAATTGTTTATTATTTTCTGTTATAATTCTGCAATTGATTGAAAGTTGTAATTAATCTACCTAATAACTAAACAATTTTCCCCCCAGATTTTACCGCTGAATGTTTTTTTTTTTTGTAGAACTTTATCTCCACGAAAGACCCGGTTATATGTTCGATCTGCCTTGATTCGTTAAGTACCCACAGTAGCTTTTTAAAGGACTGTTCGGATATACAGGAGCAAATCAGAAATGTTAGTGACGAAAGAGAAATTTTCTTTTATATTAAAAATGAACAGATTGAAATAAAATCTGAACAAATTGAGGATGGGTAAGTTTTAAAAATGTTTGAGACGATTTAATGAATTAGACAAGAAATTTTTAAAATGTTCTAATAATACTGTGATCTAATTATACCCATTAGACGTTCTACAGGGTTTTCAAAAAGTTTGTAACCCCCCCATCATCTCAGAAAATATTGCTCGGACAAAAAAATGATTAGAACAAAAGTTGCAGGGTTTTGAGTGAGCAATCCAACGGTGACTTTGACCATGATTAGAGGTCAAGTTGAAAATTTTAAATGGACTTTTGATTCCGGAAAAGAAAAGAGCGAGGAATATCAGGTCATTTATTAAAAATCGATTTGACCTGTAAACGACCTTGAAGGTCATGATCAAGGTCATATCCGAACATAAAAATGTCCACTTTTTCCATTTCAAAAATATACGGTTCCATTTAACATTTTCAGGTTGACCTCTAAATGACCTTCAAGGTCATGGTAAAGGTCACATTCGAACGTAAAATTTTTCGCTCTTAGTATTTCCGGGGTCAAAAGTATACGGTTCCATTTAAAATTGCAACTTCAACTTTTGTCCTAATCTTTTTTTTGTTTGAGCCGTATTTTCCGAGATAGAGGGGGGTTCCATACTTTTTGAAAACCCTGTATACAGGGTGATTCTTATTCCTTTTTTCCCCCACATTGATATGTATCACAAAAACATCAAACACCAGTGGCCAAGAAGCAAGGTTTTTAGAAAAATGCCTCACATAATTACTGAAAATAATACATGACAATATTAGAAACATTTCGGTGATTTATTTGTTCAGCTTCCAGTTTTATGAGAAATTAATATCACCAGTACTTATTTTTAATTAACCTAGTGTATTTCTGTTGCGTTGAAAATAATTTGAATTACAAATCCATCAATATTGTGCCGTAGTTCAATTGTTTTACCACTGAAATCGTAAAATAAAAATATTCAGACCATACCATGAATGAGTACTTAATAAATTTCAAATAGTACGGCTTCAAAGATGAAAAAAAGTCGATCTCTGTATTTTGAGACATAGTACATATTTGGAGCAAATTCGGACTATGGGAATTTATCGTGACAATCACAGGATGTGATTTCTGATATCATACACTAGTTCTTCATACTTTTCTTCGAATAAAAGATATTCTTAGTTTGGTAGGAGTACCACGGGTACTTTGAGAAAAAAAGGGTTTTAATTTCATACCACACATACGGTATGAGTAGGTGAATAACAAATGTACTTACTTATTTAATTGTACACATAAAACAAAAACAAAACATAAAAAAATCATAGCCGATAATAATGAGTCTAAAATTATTATTAAGTGTTAAAGGAATTATCAACTATTTAACGTTCTGTTTGAGTAAATGTTCAAAGTGACCATTTGCTTAAATACATTTTGTACATTACCAATCTTATAAACGTTTTGATATCCGGTACCTGACAATGCGGATAGTCGTCTGATATACTGAATACTGAAATAAATAACTTTATATGGCTATACAGGCTGTTATTAATTCGCTTCTCACTATAGAGATCTCGGAAACGGTAAGAGGTACAAAGTAGCTTAAATGGGGGCAAAGTTGCATAATCAGGGGCCAACATTATGCCTCTAAGAAATCAAGGCTAACATGATTAGTTTTCGAAATATTTGAACAAAATTGAAATTTTGGAAATCCGTTTTTGTTTCATTTCAGTCTTGTTTGAGCTATTATTGAAAAAAAACACTTTCTCAAGGCCACTTTTTGCCTTTTATCGAATGGCATAATCAATTTTTAAATGTAACGTTTCGTCTCTCCAAAACCATCAACTTAATTTTTTTAAATACAACTCTAGAAATGTTATTACATTTTTGTGAGCCTTCATACCCCCAATACTGTACTGTCTCAGCCCGAACCAGATTCAAATGTTTTGTCTCGAAAAATTCATCTATTCATCTTCAGTGTATTCGTTTCAAATTTATCTAAATTTTTTATTTACATTTCTTCGTTTATTGAATTATTATCGAACACTGTAAGTGTCGTTAGTCCCTGTGAAATCCATCTAGTTATTTAAACTATTACCACCACACGTTACAATAAAACATTTATTATTATTAACTATTACCATCACTTGGTCATACATAACTCAGTTGTTGCGTCAAAATTAAAACATAATTTTAATTTTATTATGACTAATTCTTAAAAATGCATATGAACAACCAAAATGCCAACTGAATATTATTCATTAAAAAATTTCAGTAAATGTTCAAAACCATTTTCGTTTTGGCAAAGTTTGAAAATGAAGATCAGCGTAATATTATCGGAATTTTTTTTTTTTTTTAACACAACTTTATTTCAAAATAACAGTTCAATGTACAAAACAGTAGTGTAGTTTACACCATCAGATGAAATAGTAGTCAAAAATATAACAATAACAAAACAAAACAAAGGAAACATAGATGGATGGTCAATGATACATTACTGTTAAAGCAAACATTAATTTTGTAAATATTCATTTAAACTGTATGGTTCCAAATTTAATAACATTTTGTGTATATATTTTTTGTACTGGGATAAACTCTGGGTATTTTTCACCTCTTGAGGGAGTTTATTATAGAATTTTATGCAAGTATAATGAACATTCTTCTCAGTTAATGTTAAATGATGTATGGGAAAGATTAAATTTGTATTTCTAGTATAGTAAAAGTTAGTTTGAAAACATTCCCTAAATAAATTCTTATTTTTAAAAGTGAAAAGTAAAATTTCTTGGATATATACGGCAAAAACTGTTAATAAACCATTTGACCTAAATCTTCCACGGCAAGACACACTTTGTGCGAGCCTCAACAAACACCTCAAAGTTCTTTTTTGAGAAATGAACAACCTATTTATGTGGATACTTTGACCAAAGAAAATTATTCCATATCGGAATACAGACTCAAAATTTGCATAATAAATCACTTTGAGGGTTTTGAGATCCAAATACTTAGTCAACACCCTAATACTATAGCATACACTATTCAACCTTTTTTCAATGCACTCGATATGAAAGGACCAACTAAGTGTGTCATCTAAGTGTATTCCAAGAAACTTCATATTTTCTTCCACTTTGCAGCTCATAGTGTTACTTAATTTGAAACTGTCCGGAGATATATAGTTGCTTTGTCTTGTTTTAAATAACATAACTTTTGTCTTATCCTGATTTACAACTAATTTATTTTTACTGCACCAATCAAGTATTCTATTGTAAACATATACAATTTTTTCTCGTATATCACTAAAATTTGACCCACAAATAAGAACGGTTGTATCATCAGCATACTGGACACAATAACCCTTTGTGCCGTCAATGTGTAGTGGCAAATCATTTACAAAAATCAAAAACAACAGCGGTCCCAGGATACTCCCCTGAGGAACCCCAGTTGTAATTGGTACATACATCGAAGAGCAGGTTATCCCACTTTTAGTAATAGTGACCTTTTGTCTACGATTCGTTAAATATGACCGAAGCCAATCCAGAAGACTGCCACGGATCCCATATTGTTTGAACTTATTTATCAATATAGTATGGTCTACACAATCATATGNCTACTTTTAAGAAACCCTGAGAAATCCAGAATTTTTTTTTATAACTCGCTTTTCTTTCAGAACATCCATGGATATCAATAATTGTTTTTGGCAACCCCACCTGTCAGCTATTTTAGTTTCATTCATCATCTTTAATTTGAGCTGTTCAAGAGCTTCATACGATTATTTGTCGCTGAGTCTTTCACAGGGAAAATGACCTCTTTGGTTTTGATAAATATTACTCAGGATCTAATGACCGTACAGAAAATATAAGTTTTGAAAACTTCAAAATATTCTCCTTAAACAAATTTTTCGATGTGAGAAATTTGACTCAAAAAAACGTAAAAAAGTGTGTATTTAAGGATTTTTGGTAAACTTAAAATTGATGTTCAGGATATTTTTCTATTTTTTAACCTCAAAGTATCCCAAAGAAACCCTCAAAAGTTCAAACTGCTGCGACGCTTTTTTCATTGTGAAAAATCAATTAAAGGATAACTTTTGCATTTTTTATTCTTTTTTCTAAATAGATTTTTTTTTCACAAAACAATTTTTTTGCATAAAATTTTTTTTTTAATTGAAAAAAAATGTACTTTCCGAATATAATATATTCTTTTACAAATGTGCTACACCATTGTCAAATAAAATTGTCCTTTTTTGCCAAATAAAATTGTGCGTTTTTTAACCGTGGTTTCCACCTTGTTTTCAAAAGTCAATTTAAAAATTTATTGCAAAAAGTTGGACACCCGCCAATCAGTTGCTGTATCACCTTTCTCAATTCTCGGATACATACTGCTCAAGTTTTTTTTTAAACTAACCTAAAAAGCTTTTCAGTATATTCCAAAAATATTTCTTCTGGCGATTGTGTAGCATTGAAAAAACATTTTGTTTTAATTTTTTCTATTTTTGCAATATTTAATATTTTTTGATGAAAAAAAAATTTTATATTTGCAAAAAAAAATAACAGTTTCAATTTACAAAAATGAATAAATAATGCAAAATTTATCCTTTATTTTTTTTTTTTAGCAAGTGACAATTTCAATATCACTAATATTGCCCGATTTTCGGAACTTCAGGGGTAACCTTGGTAAGAAAAACCGATACCAATGGGCATAGGACTTACTTCGTACTGAGCTAAATCGATCAATACTACTGTCTTGTCAAAGCCCGGCTTTTGCAGCCGGTTGGTTATGTAGACAAACTGTTTACCAGATATTAGTACTTAGACTTTATTAAATACAAAATTATAGTCATACATTGTAATTCTAGAGAAAGATAATCATTTATCAGATATTAATTCAATGAGAGTGATTTTATCTCACTAGGATTGGATACTGTCATGAAAAATTCCAAATTTTGCCCGAGGTCCGATGTACCAGACGTGAACGAAGTTACATTTGGAAAAAATATATGAATTTTCTGTATCTGCTAAGGCAAGAGAATGCTGCTTCCAAAATAGTTTGCTACGAAAACTTATGAAATTGGAAATAAAAATATCTCCTTGTAGCAGATGTTTTTGTAGTATTCATCTTTGTCAAAAGTGATGAAAGAACAAAAAGTACAAAATACTTTACACGATTGCATTATTTAATCATATAAATCGTAAAGTGCCAAAAACATGGGCTGCCATAAATTATGTTAAAATAGTATTCTCTTACCTTGTTTCCTCCTCTTCCGATTTTATGTCAATACTTTCATCTTTGATGGACATTTCCACCTCGTTAGTATCAAATTCTTTGTCCAAGTTTTCGGTCTTAACGAATAAGTCAAGTGGAGCCGTATCTATTTGACTTTCTGCGGCCGAACTATCAAAAATGCTTTTAATTTTTTCTCCTGCCTCTAAGCAATCTTTTAGGAAACTGTTATGACTGCACAGAGAATCAAAGCACGGCTTACACACAACGGGATATTTGATGATATTTATATTCTACAAAATATAGTTTTTAAATTCTGAAAAATGTAAGTATTTAATATCACTAATACCATTTCAGGTGTCAATTTTTCAATAGCTCCAAGTTCCTCTTCACGTATACACCTAAACTCACTTTCTACTGGGTGCATACACAATCGACATATCTTCTGACTGCATACTAAGTTACTTTTCTTTTCCTGCATGTACACGTCTCTTAAGTCGAGCTGTAACATTTTTTTGCTATCCACATAAGGAATAATTGTGTTATCCGTATTCAGACATGTTGACTTAAATTCTAATGCCATATTTAACTTTCTTCTGCAATCCTTACAGATAACCTCTTTGGTCTCGCTATCAAATTTCTGAAAAATATGCAACTTTAAACAGAAAGAAAATAACTGGCAGAAAATAACATAATTAGTGAAAGTTGCTTGACACTTGAGATTATTAAGATCTAATTATATTTTACCTACTTACCAATTTCAGCAAAAGAACATCTAGAATGTCTCTGATAATGTTGCCTATCACTTCGAAACTTTTATCTGTTATAGTTTTAAGGCAAAGCCTACACGAGGTTTCCTTAGCATCAGTCATTGCTCTGAGCTCTGCAACAATCTTCTTTTAAATATAAACGGAACACAGACAAAAAAATATATAAAGCCTTCACTTCTAACTCTAGCCTCTAACCCATAGATTAATACAGAAACTCTAACCTTCTTGGTAGTGTAGAGTGTAGTGTAGTGTGTAGTAGGTGTTGTGACGTGACTGTTGTAACACTTATAACTGTTTTATGTTGTGTGTTATTAGAAATAGAGATGGGCGAAACATAACTGATCCGGCTCTGCTTACTGGTCCGAGTGAACTCGAGTGAAATAGTTCCTTCTCATTTTGCAGGGTGCGGACTCCCATACAACTTATGCGATGTTTCTTTCGAAGTAAATTTAGTATCCACATCAACCTTTTAATACTTTATTCATAAGAGTATAGTATGTAGAAACAAAATTCTAGATAATCACTATCCACTGCAGTAGTTCTTTCTCTATCCTTGTTCAAAGTTTTTAAAATGTATCTTTTTTTCACTTTTCTTGAGAAATTTGATAATTTTTTTTATTTAAAGTAATCGATTTTCGATACATAGACATTTTTAACCAAGTACCTAGTTTTAGGGTTTTTTTGCTTCTAAACCACATCTAACTTCGTTAGCTTGACTCGCATAGCGATTTCCATTGGGGAAAACTGGGGCTGCACTCGGGCAGCACTGACACTCCACTGGTTGTATGAGAAATATGTTTTGGTGCAATCTCAATGGAATGACAATTTTTGCGTGGTTTGATTTTTATTCATTCAAAGTAACAGTTGACCAGTTGAAGTTTATCAAAGAAGGTAATTACAATGAATGAAGAATAAAATTTGAAATTTAAAATAAACGAGGAGGAAGTTACATTGTGTATTCCTGTAGACGAAACGGGGTCACTTATTTAAGTTTGTAGATGATATTTTCAATGAATCCTTCCACTTCTGGCAGTTGTTTGCGTATAACTGGTATAACATACATTTCATCATCATCACTACTACTAGTTGATAAAAACGATAATAATGGATCAACAACTTTGTCCATATTTACCGCCATTTTTTCTTGCACTGACACCGGCACCAGCTCCAAAACCTCATGCGAAATAATATGCACTCAGAGCAAGAACTATTGCTCTAGTTTTTCAATGGAATTTGAATATTTGCACCCACTTGACCAATGGAATGTCAATGGTGCACTCAGTTTGCACCAGTTTTCTCAATGGAAATCGCTAACAGAATACGTGAGCTTGACTGTCCCGTGTTGTGTTCCGTGACTTGTGATTGAGGTTATGTAGTTTATAAAGTGGAAATTGTACTTGAATTAAATATTAAATAGAATATAATACAAATGGAGAAATTCAAGGGATCATTCTGCAGGCTATGCCTCAATAACGAAAATGATGCAAGTTTCAAGATAATAGATGAAACCATTAAAGAAGTCTTAGACATTCTTCTCCCGAAATTAGTAAGATAAATTGCAATGTGGCAATTGGACTTTATTTGGAGGACGTTAAATAAATTTATACAAAACGATTAACAATTATAAAATCATAAATGCTGTTTCAAATTATTTAATATGGTGTAATTTCATATTACATAATTTTTGAAGGTTAAAACATATGTTTTAGTGGGTAGAAGAAAATAACTCCATTATATGCAACGTCTGTTGCACGAAACTGTTTGCGGCATTTCATTTTAAAGCCATCTGTATGGACACCGAGGACATTATTTTTCCTTATATTAGTTCCAAAGATACAGCTTCAGTTGATCTAAGAGAGGTTTACTTGAAGGAAAAGGATAAAGAACAATTAGGAAATATATTGCAAGATGAGAAAATTTGTCGATTATGTATGCAGATAGTCTCATGTGGATTTACATCGGTAAAAGAAGTGAAGGCTGACGTATTTCTTAATTATATTCCACAAGTTGTACGTAAAATATAATTGTTTATTATTTTCTGTTATAATTCTGCAATTGATTGAAAGTTGTAATTAATGGTCTATTTTTTTTTTTTTGTAGAACTTTATCTCCACGAAAGACCCGGTTATATGTTCGATCTGCCTTGATTCGTTAAGTACCCACAGTAGCTTTTTAAAGGACTGTTCGGATATACAGGAGCAAATCAGAAATGTTAGTGACGAAAGAGAAATTTTCTTTTATATTAAAAATGAACAGATTGAAATAAAATCTGAACAAATTGAGGATGGGTAAGTTTTAAAAATGTTTGAGACGATTTAATGAATTAGACAAGAAATTTTTAAAATGTTCTAATAATACTGTGATCTAATTATACCCATTAGACGTTCTACAGGGTTTTCAAAAAGTTTGTAACCCCCCCCATCTCAGAAAATATTGCTCGGACAAAAAAATGATTAGAACAAAAGTTGCAGGGTTTTGAGTGAGCAATCCAACGGTGACCTTGACCACGACCTGGAAGGTCATTTAGAAGTCAAGTTGAAAATTTTAAATGGAATGACAATGACCTTCAAGGTCATTTAGAGGTCAAGTTGAAAATTTTAAATGGACTTGTCAAAAAATCGGATTTCCAAAATTTCGTTTTTTTTTTTCAAATATTTCGAAAACTAATCAGGTTAGCAATGATTTTTAGCGGCATGATGTTGGTCTCCTGATTAAGCAACTTTACCCCCATTTAAGCTAGTTTACCGTTTTAGAGATCCCTGTAGTGAGAAGCAAATTTGTAACAGCTTGTATACTTACACCATACAAAAAGCACTTTAAGAACATCATAAACCGATAAAGTCGAAAAGTGAAATAAAAATGTAACAAACTCGTTTACCATCCCATCATATCATACCAGGTGTGAAGTTAATTTGCAGTAGCCGCTTTTCAAATGCAAAAATATGACATTTCAACTACACAGATGTGACTGATCTCCCTTGCCCTTGCAAAGCATGATGGGATTCTGCTTAAATTTAAACTATTCACGGTCTAATTTTCTTGGTATTCTATTATTCTATTCTGTATTAATTTTAACATGTCTAACATAGATTTACTGTGGAAATGGCTGAGTAAGAAGAAAAATTGGAAAAACCGTATTTCTTTATATATTAATATACAATTAGTAATGTATCTACATACAAATATTGGCTAATCTGTCCGTATTGACATCAAAAAAATATGGTGACTAAAATAACGCAAAAAGCTACTTTTTTTCACAAAATTATTTTTCATTAGTTTTGTTGTGTAATAATTGTAAATGTTAAAGAAATATGTATTTACAATTAGTAACATTAGTTAATATTTAATAAATCATGTAAAAAATTTCATTTTTTTAGAGACAATAGAATGTTCTTTTTAATGTTCTGCTCTTCAACTACAATCACATCAAAGAAATATGGTAACTTTTAAATAACACTTCGCTAGGTTCTGGAATCTGCTAAAACTCTTATTATTAATCCTAATTGACTTAAAGTTGAAAGAGCAATGATTTTACTAAATTATTTTTCATTGTAACTTTGCACAATGTAGGTTTATTTAATAACTACGCCAGAATGAAAGTGCTGTTTAGCAACTAATTATAATTCGGCAAAATTTGATTCTCTATTCTTCTATTCTCTTACTTTATTATTTCGGGAATGGAAATATTCCTTTGCACTGTTATGCCATCTACACAACTATAAATTTAAAGAAAATATTTTTTCAGTGATACGCCTCTCTGTAAGGATGAACCCACTGACTGCGAATCCAAAGGCAACAGTGATGTGAAATCTCGTCGGCTAAAACACGAAAAACCTTCAAAAGTGCAAACGTATAAATGTGGTAAATGTAATTATACAACCGATCACAAGAACAATCTCACACGCCATCGACGAATACATAAAAACCATTCAGAAATCCAATGGTACAAATGCGATTCGTGTGATTATAAAACTAAGGATAAGAATGGCATTAGAAACCACCAGTTAGTTCACAAGGACATTTCCAAGGTGACATTATACACATGTGATTCATGTAACTTCAGAACCAAGTATAAGAGGAGCCTAAAATCCCACAGCTTAATTCATAAAGATCCTTCTGAGTTACAAATGTACACCTGCGATTTGTGTGATTACGAAGCAAAGCGGAAGAAGCATCTCAATGTTCATAAGCTCAAACACAAAAACTATTCTGAATTGCAAATGTATAAATGTGACACGTGTGATTACCAGAGTAAATATAGCAGTGCTCTAAAAGGTCACCAGTTAACGCATAAAAATTTTTCCGAGGTGCCAGTATATACATGCGATTCGTGCGATTATAAGACTATGATTAAGCGAGGTCTAAAATGTCACAGTTTATCCCACAAGGATGCATCCGAAGTCCAAATGTACATGTGTGAATCCTGCGACTTTAAAACTAAGCATAAACAATCCCTAAACATTCACTCTCGTTTGCACAAAAACCCCTCTGAAGTTCTGACATACAAGTGCGATAAATGTGATTACAAGACAACACGCAAATATCAACTCAAAACGCATCAGTTAACGCACAAAGATATTTCTGAAGTAAAATTGTACAAATGTGATTCATGTGATTTTCAATCTAAATATAGCAAGAGTATTAGACTTCACAAAATAAAACATGAAGACGTTTCTTTAGTGCAATGGTACAAATGTGACGAGTGCAATTATCAAACTCGTTACAAAAGATCTCTCAAAATTCATCAGCTGATACACAAAGAGCTCTCTGAATTGCAAACGTACAAATGTGATTCATGTGATTTCGAGACGAGGCATAAACATAGCATTATACTCCACCAAAAGAAGCACGCGGAATTTTTCCAGATGCCAACATACACGTGTGATCAGTGTGATTTCAAAACTAAGTATAAAAGTACCCTAAAAACACACACTGTAACTCACAAGAATCCTTCCGAACTGCAAATGCACAAATGTCACTTGTGCGATTTCGAAGCAAAGCTAAAAGGTAGCTTAACAGCCCACCAATTACAACATAAGGATATTTCTGAGATAAAAATGTACAAATGTGATGTCTGTGGTTTTGAAAGTAAGTACAAGCGTTCGCTAAAATTTCACAATTTAGTACACAAGGAACCTTCTGAAGTGCCGATGTACACGTGTGATAAGTGTGATTATGAAACAAAGAACAAAAGTTATCTGGAATGCCATAAGTTAATACACAAGGACATCTCTGAGGTGCGGGTGTACGCGTGCGATACTTGTCACTTCAAAAGTAAACATAGCAAAGCCCTAAAAAATCACCGTTTAACCCACAAAGATCCTTCTGAAGTGCGAATGTACAAGTGTGACACGTGCAGTTATGAAACAAAGCGAAAGGGCAATCTAAAAAGTCATATGTTAAGGCATTAAGATACTTCTGAGAAGAAGCGGTGCTAGATGTAATTTTAGAAGCTTAAAAACAATCTGCTAAAACACTGCAGCACCATTGCAGATATCATAATGTATAAATGTGATGTGTCTGATAGGAATACAACACCAGTTTTAAATGTTTTATGAAATTGATATTGTAAAGTGTGTAAATAAAATATTGTAAGTAAATTTCCTATAAATTTATGTAATTTACAACCTCCCACAGTATTGAAACTGTTTGGAAGATGTTGGGGCCTTATTTTCCAAAAATAATATTGTAAATTGAGTAAATAAAATATTGTAAGTAAATTTCGTATGAATTTATGTAATATACAACCTCCCGCAGTATTGAAACTGTTTGGAAGATGGGAAGAAATGGTGATTTAACAAATAATTTCTAAAAAAGTAAGATTTTTAGGGTATTAAAAAAGAAACGAAAGTTGACGGAAATTACAAATTTTAATCACAAAATCACATTCGCTTTTTTACAGAACTACAGTTGTAACTAAAAATAATCTGCAGGTTTTTGTTTTCACACATAACTTTCAAGAGAAATGATTTTATCATCAGTTTTCGGTATTTTAAGGCAAAAAGTTCTCTCGATAACTGGAATATATAAAGCATAACTGTAATTTTAGTTATTGATGAATGGAATAATATGGGTAAATAATAGTGATGGGAGATTTCCAGTGAAAAATCGAGTGGTACTCGATTATTGAGATCACTCGAGATGTTTACTCCCACTACTCGAGTGATTATTACTCTACGGTTGCACCCTAAAATGTTAGTGCATACTGCAAATAGTCACTGATTGCGTAACCTTTTTTTTTAGAATAAAACGAAAAAGTGGTTAGGTTTTGAAGCGCGTGAGCTTTTTTTTTTTTAGCTACGCATATAAGTAATATATGACTAATACAAACATATTTGTGCGCCGCTGGGATGAAAACGACCAATATCTCGTATCTCGAGTAATCACTCGAATATTAGAAGTACTCGATTATCAAAATTGGTCGATTATGCCCATCACTAGTAAATAATACACACAACGAAAATCTATTATATGTTCCTTTTCCATCACAGCACAGAACACCTTTTGAGTTTTTATAATTCTCTGTTTCTATTACTGTTCACCGATCACTATCCCGTCCTTAGGTCTATTTTATGCTATGGTGTCGTGGGACAATAACACAATAGAGTAACGTAAACTGTGATAAGAAACATTGCTGACTGTTCTAAATGGTAGGTAATTAACGTTACTTAATTATATATGCAATAATTGAGGTAATACGAAATAAAAAAAAACAACCAATAAAATACAATTAAACTTGCCAGTGCCGCCAATGAAAATTCTGTCAAATTTCGACAGTAATTTCATCTTGATCTGTTGGCGACAGTGGCAACACTGCCATACCATAATCTGGTGTGAGGTTAAAGAACGACGTTTGGTGCTATGAATGTTTAAATTATTTTAATGAATCTCGAGTCATGTTTTAATTTCTAATACCAAAGACAACTAATGTATAATATTTTGATATTTTTAATGAAATAAAATGGGAAAATCGGAGAATGCATTCTGCAGGCTTTGCCTGAAGGTCATAAACAACAAGAATTTCAAAGTAATAGAAGAAACTATTAGAGAAGTTCTAGACGTTTTGCATTTAAAGCTGGTAAGTTGGAGGTAGCGTGAAATTACTTATTTGTGTATTGTATAATGTCTTAAAAACTGATTTATATTTTAGGATGAGGAAGAAAATAATACAAATGTGATATGCAACGCTTGTTCCATTAAACTGTTTGCTGCCTTTCAATTCAAGGTAATATGTATGGACACCGAAGACAGTATTTTTCCTTACATTAATTCTGAAAATGTGGAAACTGTGGATTTAAAAAAGCTTTATCTGAAGGAGAAACATAAAGAACATTTAAGTACCATATTGGAAGATGAGAAAATTTGCCGATTATGTATGCGGGTTAGCATCTCTGGATTTTCATCTGTAAATAACGTAGAGACTGATTTGATCCGTAAATGCATTCCAGAAGTTGTACGTATATTATTTTTAAATTAGAAATATACACTTTTTTGATACTACTGACATAATGAAATATTAGCTGTCTGTGGACTGTAACTTCTCGTTCGGAGCCTTTATAAATGATTACAAGCCATGTGACCAGTAGTTTTGTTTGGGACAGTAATTTACTCCTTGGCAATTAAATTTCGGTAAAATGAAAACGATAAGATCAAGCTTACAATAAAACACAACATTCTGTTTCACCGGCTGGTGATTGGTATAATTTCTCACAACATTTTGTTCAGCCATTCAGTGATTGCATTATCTTGAGTGTAGACGCAATGGTTTGTCATTGTTCATTGTAAACAAATCTTTTTAAAAATGCATTGCAATACATATTTTTTTTCTCATAAATCCTTAACTCTTTGAAAATACTTGAAGAAATCAAAAAGTTAATAAATAAGTGGGTTTTTTAGACATATTTTTTAAAAGGAAAATATTTTATAGACTAAGAATTATAAGAAAAAAGGGTTGATTATTTCAACCCTTACAAAAATACTTCTGGATTGAAAAAATTTCAAAAAGTGTAGTTTTTTTGACAGATAGAGTTCACCAAGTTTGGTTTCTGTAGCTTAATATACATGGAAGATTAAAAAGAAAAACGATTTTTTTTTGAAATTTTTGGAGGGGCTTAACTTTTCAGGGGAGTTTTCAAAAAATTTTATACCAAAGACCCTTATTAATTTTTATCAGAAAATCGTCCCTTACTTCTTTTCAGTGTTATTTAGATATATATATCCTGAAAGTATATATTATTATAATACATTTTTTTTGGATATTTTGACATATTGCAAATAAAAAAATATATTAAATAAAATGATAGTTACATTCATTGTTTCGTTTATATGATATCAGCTAATTATGTCTACAAGTTTTTTTTTTTTTTTTGTAGAATTTTAGTTGCACTGAAGAACCAGTTATATGTTCATGTTGTCTTGATTCGTTGAACACTCATGGTAATTTTTTAAAGAAGTGTTTAGGGGCGCAGGATGAAATTAAAAATATTTGTGTCACTGAAGGTACAGGGAGTGAGTTCTGTGTCGGTGCTGAAGAAATTGAAATAAAATCTGAAGAAAACGATGAAGATAGGTAGGTGCCAAAAGATTTAATATTGTTCACTAATTGCAATATGAGATTCTGCTTTTTTTATATTCTTTCACTTAAAATATGTTTGTGTTCTTTCCACTTTTTTTTTTTGTAACATTGGAAACATATTTGACAGCTTGTGTGTAAGAATTGTTTTTAAGTTTTAAAAATAAATACACAATCAGTTCTACGACACGATAGGCATAAAAAATTCTACTTACATTCATCAGTAGAGTAAGATTGGCCCTTCTCTGCAATTAAGTCCAATAGTCTTATGCAATCAGCCACTAGTGTTGGCTGGTTTTGTCATTCTCAATTCAGCTACGTAATATGATATGACAAAATACAATTTTCGGTTTTGCCAAGTTTAATAAAGCTCGTGGAAATAGTTATTAAAAATAAAAATGGCAAAGATCATCTTAATAATATGAATGTTAGAATTACTAAATGCAAAAAAATCTGATAGTATCATCGACTCATTTGGTAAATATACATTTGTTTGGGGGTGGGTTCAGGGCAAATTATATATATATATAGCTAAAATGTGCACGATTTCTTTTTTTCAGCGATACCCCTTCCTTTAACGAAGAAACCAACGAAGGCGAAACCAAGGACAACTGTGGTCTAAACCCTCAACTGTCATATCCGAAACCTTCCATTGCAGAAATATACAAATGTGAATTGTGCGATTATCAAGCGAAACGCAGATACTATATTGTCCGTCATCAGCTAAAACATAAAAAACTTTATGAAGTACAAACTTACAACTGTAACGTATGCGACTACAAAACCAAATTTAAGCATAATCTCGTGTCGCACCAGTTAAAGCACGAAGACCCTTTGAAATTACGAGTGTACGAGTGCGATAAATGCGATTTCAAATCTAAAAAAAGGGGTTTTCTAAATACACACCAACGAAAATACCACAAAGAGCTTCACAAGTGCGATAAGTGCAGTTATAGCACCATCAACAAACAGCACTTCACGCGACATCAGCTGGTACATAAAGATTTGTCTGAAGTGCGCTTATACGAGTGTGATACATGCACTTTCAAAACCAAGCACAAATACAGCTTTTCCGTCCATCAACTGAGTCATAAAGATGTTTCCGAGGTGCCGACATACAAATGCGATCAGTGTGATTACGTGACGAAGCAGAAGGTCCTCCTCAGAAGCCACCAGTTGAGACACAAAGATGTATCCGAGCTGGAACTTTACGAATGCGATGTTTGCGGCTACAAGTGCAAAGCAAAAGGCACTCTCAAAAGGCACCAGCTGAGGCACAAAGACATTTCCAAACTGCCGACATTTAAGTGTTACACTTGCGACTATCAGACTATTAACAAGAGTCACTTGATACGTCATATAACAGTACATAGGGACCCGTCGCATGTGCAAAAGTACAAGTGCGATTCTTGCAATTTCGAGGCGAAGTACAAGGATGGTCTTATGCGCCACCAGATGAAACACAAAGACCGTTCAGAGCTTGAATTGTTCAAGTGTGATATTTGTAGTTATGAAACCCTGCACAAGAGCTGTCTTAAGCTGCATCTAGAAAACCACAAGGACATTTTCGAAATGCCTGTATACAAATGTGATGAGTGCGGTTTCACAACTAAGTACAAGAACAACCTAACATTCCATCAGTTGCGGCACAGAAACTTTTCAAACGAGCAAATGCACAAATGTACTATTTGTGATTTTACCACTACGCATAAGAATTACCTTAAGCGCCATCTGCTTCAGCACGAGAACCTTTCCATAGCGCAACTGTACACGTGTGATTCTTGTGACTTTAAGACAAGGTTTAAGAACAACCTCAGATATCACCAGTTGAGCCACAAAAAATTTTCGGAAGTCCAAACGTACAGGTGTGACCAGTGCGATTTTAAAACGAAGCATAAAAACAACCTGAAACGCCATATGGTAACACACAAAGACCTCTCGGATACGGAATTATACAAGTGTCATACTTGTGGTTACAAAGCGAAGCTCAAATCGAGTATGTCACAACACCAGCTGAAACACAAGGATCTTTCCAGTGTGCAAATGTTCAAATGTAAATTGTGCAAATTCAAAAGCAAGCACCAGAGCAGCCTTGTACGCCACAAACTACTGCACAAAAGCCGTTCCAAAAGAGCTTAGAGCGAACCATCGACTAACACACGAAAAAAACCATTGTACAAAGGTGATGGGTGTGATTCTACAACCAATCACAAGAAAACCTTCCTAAAGCGAAAATGGACAAATGTGATACATACATGCATAAACCTAGAAATAGGTCATAATGCACATCCGTTAAGATACGAAGGTGTTTCTGAGGCTCAAATGTACAAGTGCGATGTTTGGTTGTTATGTAAGTTAAAGGGTGAACTTCAAGACCATCAGCTGATGCTGATGCACAAAAACGCTTCCAAATTGTCAATTGAAAATATAAGACTTATTGTAAAGTCCTTTTGGTAAGCTATCTCAATGTACAACAGATTTTTTATGGCGTAGATGTACAAGTGCGATTCTTGTGATTCCCAAGCGAAGTACAAAGAAAATCTATTATTAGATAAAGCACAAAGACCATTCGGAATATGAAATATTCAAGTGTGACATGCTTAACCACAAGGATATTTCCAAAGTTAACCTGTACACGTGTGACGTGTGTGTGATTTCAAAACTAAGCACTTTCGAACAACCAGTAGAGGCATAGAGACCTTTTAAATGAACAGCTTGACAAATGTGCTACTTACAATGTTACAACTATTGCGACTTAATGAACAGGCATAAGAACAACCTTAGACATCACCAGTTGAGCCATAAAAAGTGTTTAGAAATCCAAATGTACATGAGCGATCTGTGACTTTAAAAAGAGTATAAGAACCCGAAAGGTTGTACAAGTGTGATGCGAGTGATTATGAAATGAACTTAGTTTAACAAACCAACTAATACACAAAGTGCTATGGTACATATGCGATAGTTTTGATTTTACAACCAACCACAGAATCAGTTAGATCTGTTTTGTCAAATCACCAGTGAAGACAAAACACATAAGATGTGTGATATGTATAAGTTTGTAAAGAAAACCTTGATTTATCCTATTACTGCAAGGGGTTATTTATTTTAATTAATAATTTTAATTAGTTAGCTTATTTAGTTAATTATTAATAGTTTATAATCCTAATTAATTCTTGAATTTCTTTGATTGTGTAAAACCGCTAAAAGGTAAAACTGACAAGACAATTTTGACGCACAGATTATTCATATGTACAACATGAAAACCATTTAGTTTATAAGCTACGCTAGCAGATAAGTCAAGGTAAGGGCTAACGCTTGCCTACAATATTGAAGATTGTAGCCCGTCAGGATCCAGAGGACATCGCGATCGATACCCTCAGATATAACAAATTACACATTTATCATTATTGTTTGTTACATTTAATACTTTTATTATCTCGTATTATAACAGGTTAAGTAATGAAATGTTTCTCTTTGAGGCGTCATTTCTTAGCTCTGATGTTGATCTTGCTGCCTCCTGGCTTCGGGCTACCTAACTTCCCCTAAAACTGGGCAATGTTAACAATTAGACTATACTCGTGTCATATGAAAACTAAAATTTGATTTAGTTAATAAACATAAACACAATATAATATGTATTGCCTGTAACCTTCCTTCAACGATAAAGTGTCGGTAATGTACGTCGTTAAAATAACACTTATGACAACTGAACGCCGGCAGATTTCTTAAAACTGTAGCTTAAGGTGTTTTTATGCTATAAATAAATTTTATTTACTTACCTACGTTTTTTTTTTGTTACATTTATAAGATTATCCCTTGAGGAGTACTGATTATACCCAAATTCAAATTTTTCAACTTAAAATACAAAAAAAAATAGGGAGATTAGACTCTTAGTGTGACGTCACATATTTAGGCAACCCACAACAATTTGTCATAGTTGAAATTGTGCAGACTGAATCTGATCCTTGTGTACTATTTACAAAAATACTATAAAAATGATCAACTTCAAATTAGTTTATTTTTACTTCACTTACATGAAATTATCTTTAATGCGCATGCTCAGTAACATTGGTATAATTTTAATTTATTATTTACTATAAAAGATAAATTCTTCATTCCTTCGTTTTGGCAAAAATAGTACCTATTAGCAACTAATATCAGTTCGGAGTAAATCTAAGTAACACTATTTCATTTGGATTTGCATACAGGGAACATATTCTTGTTCTTTAAACTCGATCCAAAACGGCAAACATGGTTAAAAAAATCGCAAAGTTGCAAAAAACGGTTTTTCTAAAATAACTAAACAAATATAGCACCGATTAAAAATTTTAAATGAGAAAGTTGTAGGTTTTAAAAAGATCTATCGACTGATTATTTGTAAGTTTCAATTGCTTTGTTACTTTTTGAGATATATCGAAAAAACCGTTAAAAATCTTCTCTTATCTTCTATAACTCGTTTACATTTACGTGCCCATTTTTGCTATTTACTGCAAGCATAGGCTGCGGCAAGCCAAAAAGTACATTTCTGAAAAATTTAAAAATATTATTTATTTTTCGATATATCGATTTNAAAAAAGGGAGATTAGACTCTTTTAGTGTGACATCACATATTTAGGCAACCCACAACAAATTGTCATAGTTGAAATTGTGCAGACCGAATCTGATCCTTGTGTACTATTTACAAAAATACTCTATAAAACTGATCAACTTCAAATTAGTTTATTTTTACTTCACTTACACGAAATTATCTTTAATGCGCATGCTCAGTAACATTGGTATAATTTTAATTTATTATTTACTTTCGTTTTGGCAAAAATAGTACCTATTAGCAACTACTATCAGTTCAGAGTAAATCTAAGTAACACTATTTCATTTGGATTTGCATACAGGGAACATATTCTTGTTCTTTAAACTCGATCCAAAATGGCGAACATGGTTAAAAAAATCGCAAAGTTGCAAAAAACGGTTTTTCTAAAATAACTAAACAAATATAGCACCGATTAAAAATTTTAAATGAGAAAGTTGTAGGTTTTAAAAAGATCTATCGACTGATTATTTGTAAGTTTCAATTGCTTTGTTACTTTTTGAGATATATCGAAAAAACCGTTAAAAATCTTCTCTTATCTTCTATAACTCGTTTACATTTACGTGCCCATTTTTGCTATTTACTGCAAGCATAGGCTGCGGCAAGCCAAAAAGTACATTTCTGAAAAATTTAAAAATATTATTTATTTTTCGATATATCGATTTTTTGAAAAAAAGGCGCTCTCGAAAATTGGCTAGATCTTCTCAGCGGATAGCCCTACAGTAACGATTTTCGGTTTATTTTCTTCGTAAAGAGTTATATTATCATACTGTTAAAAAATGTTGACGATTTTATTAATTTTAAGGATCAAAAAATGACTGAAAATGTTGCACTTTTGTTTGTTAAACATTTACGGATCTATTTTGCTTCTAAGGCGAAAATGCTATAATATTCGTGTTTAGCTACCCCAGATTAAGTACAAAAGAATTTTTGTATGTGGTCTAGAAGCCGAGATATCAAAGATTTTGCAAGCGCGAGCCATTTAGACTCCACGTCAGTTCCTAGCGGGCAGCCGACCAGAGCACACGTGTTTTGTGAAAGTGTAGTGCAAGGAGCAAATTCTACCTGCCTTTATTAAGGCTACCTGGAAAGAATCCCTTTCTTTCCTTTTAATCACCGACCTAATCCCCGGCTTAAGCATAGACGCCGTCGGCATCTTTGTTACAGCACCTGTGCCGGGGTTATGCCCAGGTAAGTTTTTACTTATTTATCAGTTATTTGCATTACTTTAGAATACATTTCTTTAAAATTGCGACCCCCGACAAACAATATACCAGACAGACAAATACACCAAAAGACACGTACGCCCCCGTGAGGGGGCATCCCCACACGACTAACACTTACACACCTTCCCNAAGTATTTTGTACTTTTTGTTCTTTCATCACTTTTGACAAAGATGAATACTACAAAAACATCTGCTACAAGGAGATATTTTTATTTCCAATTTCATAAGTTTTCGTAGCAAACTATTTTGGAAGCAGCATTCTCTTGCCTTAGCAGATACAGAAAATTCATATATTTTTTCCAAATGTAACTTCGTTCACGTCTGGTACATCGGACCTCGGGCAAAATTTGGAATTTTTCATGACAGTATCCAATCCTAGTGAGATAAAATCACTCTCATTGAATTAATATCTGATAAATGATTATCTTTCTCTAGAATTACAATGTATGACTCTAATTTTGTATTTAATAAAGTCTAAGTACTAATATCTGGTAAACAGTTTGTCTACATAACCAACCGGCTGTAAAAGCCGGGCTTTGACAAGACAGTAGTATTGATCGATTTAGCTCAGTACGAAGTAAGTCCTATGCCCATTGGTATCAGTTTTTCTTACCAAGGTTACCCCTGAAGCTCCGAAAATCGGGCAATATTAATGATATTGAAATTGTCACTCTTGCTATAAAAAAAAATAAAGGATAAATTTTGCATTATTTATTCATTTTTGTAAATTGAAACTGTTATTTTTTTTGTAAATATAAAATATTTTTTTCATCAAAAAATATTAAATATTGCAAAAATAGAAAAAAAATAAAACAAAATGTTTTTTCAAT